TTATTGTAAAATGCCTTTTATGCTGCTGTAACAACAATTTCCCAATTTGGGATCAATAAAGTACTATCTATCTATCTATCTATTAAACTGACGTTATATTAACTTCCGCTACACAGTGTATTTTGCTTTAATAAAAAATGTTGATCACAAAAAAAAGGGTTATTTTGCGATTTGGCAAATCTGAGTCTGCTGTTGACTCGTGCATGAGGACGAGTCTGCTGGATCTCTGGATCTGCTGCTATATACGGCTCCGAGTCCGCACGAGTCTGATCCGCTGTGTGTTGCAGCGAGTCAGGATTTGCGAATCTGAGTCTGCTGTGGACTCGTGCATGACGACGAGTCTGCTGGATCTCTGGATCTGCTGCTATATACGGCTCCGAGTCCGCACGAGTCTGCTCTGCTGTGTGTTGCACAGTGAGTCAGGATTTGCGAATCTGAGTCTGCTGTGGACTCGTGCATGACGACGAGTCTGCTGGATCTCTGGATCTGCTGCTATATGGTTACGGCTCCGAGTCCGCACGAGTCTGATCCGCTGTGTGTTGCAGCGAGTCAGGATTTGCGAATCTGCGAGTCTGCTGCGCGGGAGCCGGGTGCTGGAGGAGGGGCTATGCTCGTGCACATGACGAGTATGGATCGCTGGATCTGCTATGCTATTACGGTTAGGAGCCGTCGGCTCCTCTGAGTCCCCACGAGTCTGCAGGAAGTTTCACTGATCCGCGTCCCCTCCCCTCAGCCAAACGATAACTTCTGGCAGGCAGCTATCCTGTATACTTGCTAAAGGGTAGGTAGATGGACTGGGGTACGTTGTAATGTGATTTTACATGTTATAAAGAGAGTAGCGAGTGACGCAATTTATAGTTTTAAGTTGTACGTCACACCAAGTGTGGGACTCAAGGACTCGGGTTAATGGAGAGGGGAGACTCGTCACGACCAGCTCATTTCTAGGATCCGGGTTAATGATCCGGATGAATCAGGACTCGCCCATCTCTACAGTACATATGCCGAACCTGTACGTGGCGCTGTAACTTCCTCCACAAAAGCAGCAACTTCCTCCACAAAAGCAGCGAAGAAGAATGGTTGTCATGGCTGCACTTCTGTTTATTCTCCGCGGTGGGGGCGGAGGGAACCGCGCAGAGTTTTTCGCCGGTCAATGTGTGTTAAAGTTTAAATCTTCATGCTTCCTCATGCAGCAGCTGATCCAGTAAGTAAACCCGACAGTAAAAATAAACATATTTATAACTAGTTTAGGTAGTTTGAGAGGTAATTAAAATAGCTAAGGGTGGTGATCTGACTTGAAGTGTGTGTTTTGCTCCCGCTGCATCACAGCGGGAGGAGCTGCGTGTCTCCGTCCTGTCAGATTAGACTTCACTCGCGTTTATGTTCATATCGAGATAAAGATAAATAATCTGAATTCAGTGTGCAGTGTACTTTTGCGGGGGTGAGCAGCAGAGGTGGGGAGAGGCGGGGAGAGGCGGGGCTATGAAACGGATGACCGTATAGGCGACCCCACGGCCCCGTTGGACCCCCCAGAGCGCTCCGTTCCCAGATCTATTCACCTTTGGACCCGTTGTCGTTTGCGGGGTCTGTTTCTACGTTTCTGTTACGGCGTCGTCGAGCTTAAAGGGCTATACGCATGAGAAATATGCGGATTCAACCCGTTTTCGTCCCCCCTAAGATACATACGATATAAGGATCGAGGTCTAATCCCCAAAGACTATTAACATTTATATCATACGGTGCATGTTCTCTAAACAAAAAATGAAGTCTCTGCTGATTTTAAAGCTCCCATGTCATGCTTTTCCGGTTATTACCCGTCCCCTTGTGTGTTATGAAGGTTTTTATGCATGTAAACGGTGTGCAGAGTCAAAACCCTCAAAGTACACCCTGTAGCGAGTAAAACTCTAACACAGAAAATACCTCCCCAAAACGCCTCGTTGGAGATACGTCACTGCCCATTTGAGTCTTCCATTTAGTTCCGGGTACCGCCTGATGTCATGCGGTACCCGGAACGAAATGGACCAATCCCGAAGAGCTATGGCCACACCAGCAGCGGCGTGTTCCTCCTCCAGAGGTTCGAAGAACCGGCATTTCACAGACGAAAGCTTCCAAAACATTGCCCAGTTTGAGGCCGGATATGCACAGCTTGTTTGGACCGTTTGGAGCAGGGGAAGATCTGGGTATACAACCTGTAAGTTTGCATTGTTATTTGTGTATTTATCAAACAAGACTGTTTAAATGTGTAAACTGTGTTGGACTGCTAAGCCATTGACACAGTGCTAACTGTGCTAACTAAGTTGCTAGAGTTTCCATATATCAACTCTAATATCAGCAGATGGCCTTGCATACATGTATCTCATAGCAGGAGAATGTCTGCATTCACACACACGGAATACTCATACAGTATACTGTACTGTGATTTACCGTACATTGTGACCGTACATATACTGCATGTAGCTAACGAGGCTAGCTGTATGCTAGCGCAAAACAATGTATTCATGCAAGTTACATTGTATGGTAGCAGAATACCCGTATACGATTGCAATTATAAACACGTTATTGCTAGCCTAATATGAACCACTAGCTTTTGTTCATAGTAGTTTTATTACACTGCATTATAGTTGCCTTTCCTCCAAGCTAACGTTCATATCGTGTTAGCTACCAAGGTAAACAAAGCTAGGTTAGCATATTAGCAGGCAAGCTGTTCATTACACAACTACTACTAACGAATCTAAAACAACTAAGTTTCTCTAATATTTTGTGATTTGCATTTGATTTCGTCCAGCCAGATCCTGGCGGACAATCCATGACGTGCTAAAAGGCACTTCTACTACTACTGAGGCGTCGTGCTAAAAGGCACCACACCGACTGTGCGCAGGCAAGATGCAAGGAGGAGGAATGGATGATATACCGTGTATATATGTATATTTATGTTCATTTTGTACATTTCTAAAAATAAAGTTTAATGGAAATACTTAGTAGGCCTATCCTTTCTTCCCTGAATTCATATATAGCAAACCATGATTTGATTTCTCATCAAACAGTAGTAGTTTATAACGGGTAAAAATAACTTACTCTTTGTTATGAGCGGCTCGTAGGCCACAAAGACAAGGAGACATACACGAGTTTACAAAACCACGGCACATTTATTGTGGTAAATGGAGAGATAGGTGGTTGAGAGGATCGCAGAGTCTTCCCGCAGCCGCTTTGGAGAGAGACTGGGGCCGTAGTGTCCGGAGGTGTCCGTGATCGTGCTGATTAGCCTCTTCAGCTCCACCCCATCGTAAGACAAAGGCCCTGGGGCCGTCACACTCTTCTATAACAACAGTTAAAAATATATATGTATATAAAATATACGGCTGTGCCGACGCCATGATAAGACTGATGTTACGCTGAGAGCAGCCGGGAAAAGCACTGTTAGACATGGGCGCAGCCTCTCTGGTGGTTGACTAATCAGAACGAGTGGCCGAGCTGACCAATCGGAGCACACTAGGCTCACAGGGAGGGGGGGGGCAAGAGCTCCAACGAGTCGTTTAGTGGAGAAAGTGAATACTGCTGAATACACATGCTTGACAGAGATGCTGTATGCGAAACCAATGTGAGTTTGGAAAATTGCACAGTATAAATCTATTTTAGTATACCTCAACAATGTAATTATGATCAGTGGAAATGGCCATGACATGGGCCCTTTAACCTGTTAAGCACCTAGCCTGTTTTTCATGTACCAGGCTCGAAAATGACATGCCCAAAACAAATGACTACAACTTAACTTCTAAAAGGGTTATATGAATAATTTATTTTATCAAAGCAAGGTTACATCTGTGAGTTGGATGTAGAAGTGTCAGAATCAATATAAATGTTTTTTATTTTAAAGAAAATTCCGATTTTACATAGTAAAAAACTGTAAATTATAGTGTCCGTCCAAAAATAATTTTTTACAGATAGTGAAAACTACCCTTGGATGATGGGTTAGTAGACTAAAAGCTTTAGGAATCCAAAGTACAACATATAATAAGTACCCTGTATCAAGATTGATGCAAAACAAGTGACATTTGACCTTTTTAGAGAGGTTTAGCCAAAACCACCCCACCTCTGAGGTGATTTGGGTGAAAATGTTTTTTTTTCTCTATCTCTGGCCCCCCTTACTCGATTTTGATCGTTGACACACCTTTCTGACCGTTAGAGCCAATAGAATCGAAGGGGGAGGCCCAGATACACACACATTGTAAAGAGAAAAGGTGGGGGCTGTGCGTCTGGAAATGAAAGCAAAGTGGAATAATGTCTCATTCTGGAATTTGGAAACTAAAAAGCAGTTTTATTGCTTATGGATGATCAGAAATAATTTCAAAGAGGGCACAGATACATAGGATGAACCTATGGATTAACTGCAGCATCGTTTTTTTTATCGTTTTAATGCCATTGAAGACCAGTTTTGACCAAGGTAAGCCATGTTAGCGTTTCTAGCTACTTAGCTCCACATGTTATGATGTACGCTTTCGTTTATAGCGTCGCAAATGTTTATCACTGAGTGTTGAGGAGGGCACCGTTAGATTCAGTGTCTCTAGGACACCAAAAACGAGTGGTTGGTTGTGCATCTAGGATAAGTAATAAGGGAGTTATGAGAGAGTTTAAGTGCCGTTTTAGGTAAACATTTTTCGCTCGTGGCTAATTCAGAGGCTGAGTGCTAGCATTGTGGGGGTTTTTTTAATTTAAAAAAAAGAAAAATCAGTTAGCTGAGTTTCTTCCCGTTACATGGATATAAAACATTCATAGTTTTATTCAATATTAAGATTCCTTAGACGTTGTTTCCTGCAAATTACGCGTTTATCCGCCCGGTAGCCTACCGGGCGGGCCGTGCGTAACAGGTTAACTTGTGAAATATCTAAACATGTAAATCTGTTTAGAAAATGTTCCAAGAGTAAGACTTCTGGGGCACCTTACTTTCATCTGGTCCCATCTCTAATCTTGTCCTCTGTCTGGTTCTGTCCTCCCCTGCCCTTCTTTTCCTTCTGTCCTGTGTTGTCTTCTTATGCCTTGTTCTCTGCCCCATCTTGCCCTTCGCTGACTTGTCTCGCCCCGTCACATCTTGTCCCGATGTGTCCTGTCCTGTGTTTGGTCCTGAGCAGAACAGAACATCCCATGTTGTCCCAGTGGATGGCAGAGCCACGAGTCCACCTGTTACCAGCTTTCCTCCAGTGAGAACACCTGGCAGCACGCAAAAGAAGACTGTGAGAACAAAGGATCTCATTTGCTGATTTTTAATGAAAAATCAGAAGAGGTATTTGTTATATTTCTTATATAAATCCTGATATTCTGATATTATCCTGCAGCCAATTAATTGATGGTTAGCCTCACCAACCAAATTGATAAAATATTTTAAATTCACTTCCTTCTGAACAGAAAGTTGTTAGTGGATTTGGAGGTGATGCCAAACTGTGGATGGGCCTGAGTGGTAACGTGAACAAGCAAATCAACAAATGGGAGTTGAAAACGGTGGATTCAAGCCCCTGGTCTCATGGGTAAGGCTTTTTACATCTTTATAAACTTGAACGATGATCCTTATTTAAGGCGAAGATCTGACATTGACATATTACATTTTGGACTTTATTACACATTGACATTTAGCAACTAACTTTGATTGAAACAACTGGTAAATCTTAGCAGCTTCAAAATAAATTAAAGGGGACCTATCATGCAAAATGCACTTTTGTACCTCTTTTATACATGAATATGTGTCCCCGGTGTTCCAGGGAACTCACCAAGTGTCAGAAAACACAACCCTCTCTATTTTCCTCCATACCCAAATCTCTAAAAAAGGGGCTGCAACGGATCTGATAAAAACTGATCCAGATTTGAACACTGTCCTGACGTCAGGACGGTGGCGCTACGGCTATTGGGCCAACTCTCCTGCTGCAGCTCACAGAATCAGCCCCCTGCAAAAACAGTGCTGGAGAACAGTAAATAGAGCGAAATTAGGCATGGCTAAAATGCAGGATCCGTTTGGTATTTTGAAAACAGAAACGTATAAATATTAGGGCTGTCAAGTTAACGCGTTAATAACGCGTTAACGCAAAAAAAAATTAACGCCACTAATTATTTTAACGCGATTAACGCATGTGTATTTTTTGTCCTCGGCCGCCGTAGTTTCAGAGCGCATCGAGTTTAAAATACCATCTACAAGCTGATGCTGACAGCCCCGCTCCTGCTGCCCGCTTGTGGCAGACCACACTTCCACGCTCACCGGCAGGCCCGGACTGGCCATCGGGAGGACCGGGAGGGTGTGTGTATGTGTGGCGCGAGCGAAGCACACCTTACGTGTTGTTGTTAGCATCTGGTACTAGCTAGCTGAGCTAACGGATATAAGGAGCTGTTTCAATGAAAACAGAGGAGCGACATTTCGCCGACAACTGCGCCGAGCACTTGACTTTATGCAGGTAGCCAGACAGCACACTCAGCACACTCAGCACGGATAGTGCGCGCAACACAGCTCATACACACAGGCATATATGCCTTGAGCTGCACATAACTCCAACACACACACACACACACACACACACACACACACACACACACACACACACACACACACACACACACACACACACACACACACACACACACACACACACACACACACACACACACACACACACACACAGTATTGTATGAGAGAGGTTCTAGGTTGAATTGAGGCGAATATTTGTAATGTTCAGAGGTTGTTGTGTTTAATATTCATGAGAATATTTGTCATTGTTCAAATGATAATAAACAAACATATAAAGCATAGTTGTCCACTCATATGTTGATAAGAGTATTAAAAACTTGAAAAATATCCCTCTAAGGTACATTTAGAACAGATAAAAAATGTGCGATTGATTTGCGATTAATCGCGATTAACTATGGACAATCATGCGATTAATCGCGATTAAATATTTTAATCGACTGACAGCCCTAATAAATATACCTTATATAGGTATGGCCCTACAATATATCATTTAAATATAGCATGATAGGTCCACTTTAACCAAATCCACCCAAGGTTTTATCCAAACATTATCCTTAAAAATTACCAAATGCTCATTGCATACTGTAAAGCTAAAGAAAGGGTACAACCTTGAAAACTCATCAGTCTATTACATGGCTTACACCAACATACATGTGTACGTCAAACAAACACAGTCAATCCAGAAGTGCCTTGCTTTTCCACCCTAACCAAATCCGCCAATCTGTATTTTGTGTTGTTTCATAGAAACTGGAAGGAACCTACACCGAAGATTGCGAGTAACATTTACTGTGCATATGTGGACTATCACACGTCGTCTCTGAAGACCTGGTTCCTGGTCAGCTGTCAAGAACAACACAAGTGGATGTGTGAGATGAAGCGTGCCTCTATCTTCCGTAAATAAGACTCAACCCATCAAACACATCTGCAATCAGTCTGTCTCTCATTCACAAACACAGACACATTTATTTAAAGGGGCCCTCTTCTGCTTTTTGGGGTTGTCCCTTTCCTGTAGTGCTCTATAGGTTTTTGTGTATGTAAATGGTCTACAAAGTTTTAAATGTGCTGTATAAATAAATAATTAAATAAAGATTGCAAAGGCTAAAACCCCAGAGGGAGTTTCTCTCCACTCCCCAATCTGGTATGATTGATTGATTGAAAAGTTTATTAACAGCTTGTATATTGGGTACAGTACAGTACAGCTCAAAACATACAATTGTTAAGGGGATGCAGACCAGAGAAAGACTTTCGTCTTGTTTACATCAGGGTCCCCCATTTCCAATTCATCATATCATTTAAGACATATAAGACATATTTGACATACAGATGGCTTATTTACAATTTACATACAGGTGGTTTTTTACATACAGATGGCTTATTTACAATTTTCATTTTAGATTTCGTTCTAATACATCCTAACCGGACATTTAAGACATACCAAGTCTACAGATATACAGTTAGTAACAGAGTCTAAAATGCGAGTATATACATAGATGGGGGGGGGAAGCTGTCTATTGTACGACAGGTTGAGATTTGTACCATTACCGGGGCCAGTTTTGCAATGCTTTCCCCCGAAGGTGCTCTTTAAGAGAGGTTTTGAAGGTAAGTATAGTTTTACTTTCCTTTACAGTTGTGGGAAGAGCGTTCCACCTTGATGTGGCATAATTGCGAAACGTGTATTCCCCTTTTTTTGTGCCAAATCTGGGTTTTACATGATTTGTGGAGCTCCCTCTGGTGTTATGATCATGGTATTCCTTGACCTTTGGGAAGAATTTTGACATGTACATGGGTACCATAGAGGTGTAGTGGATCTTGTAGACCAGGCCCATTGCAAGTAGCTGTACTCTGTCGTCTACTCTAAGCCATCCTAGGTTGTCAAAGTGGGCAGAGGTGAGGTGGGTTCTAGATGAAAGGTCAAGCAGTAGTCTGACCAGTTTATTTTGCGATGTTTGAAGTTTTATTTTTAGCGCCTTGGAGGTGCTATGGTACCATGACGTGCAAGCATAGTCATAGTACCCTTGAATGAGTGCTCCTGCCAGAGTTTTCAGGGTGTTTTTGTTTACCAGAGAGGAGATCCGGTATAGGAATCTAGTTCTTTGATTGACTTTTTTTATTACATTGGATGCCATTTTGTCACAGGAGAGGTTTGCCTCAAGAATAGATCCTAGGTATGTAATTTCCTTCTTACTTGTGACAATAATGTCACCCACTGCAACTGAGAAGTCGTCGGATTTGCTGAGATTATGTTTCGAACCGAAGAGAATGGACTCTGTTTTACCCAGGTGTAATGATAATTTATTATCGGCGAGCCAGGTGCAGATTCTGCCGAGCTCGGAGCTGAGGGTTTTTTCAACCTGCAATCTGCTCCTGTCAGAGACCAGCAGGGCTGAGTCGTCCGCGAACAGGAACAAGTTGCAGTCACATGCTGATGACATGTCATTTGCATAAATTAGGAACAGTAACGGACCTAATATGCTTCCTTGTGGAACACCACAGCTCACTGGGAGGGGGGGGGACAGAGTACCGTTTACCTCCACCATCTGTTCTCTCCCCTCCAGGTAGGATTGCATCCAGCTCACCGATAGTTTATCAAAACCAATTGCTTTTAGCTTGTCAATCAGAATGGGGTGATTGACAGTGTCGAAAGCCTTTTGTAGGTCCAGCATCACCATGCCGCAGTATTTACCCTCGTCCACCTCTTGTTTGATGTGGTCGTTCAAATAAAGAAGGCATGTGTCAGTGGAGTGGGATGTTCTAAAGCCAGATTGAAATTCATAGATTAGTTTCTTTTCTGCGAGGTACTTTTCGACCTGTTCATATACTATTTTTTCCATGACTTTCGAGATGGAGGTAAGTATAGAAACAGGGCGGTAGTTGCCTGGGTCCAATTTGCTGCCCTTTTTGTGCAGGGGGGTTACTCTTGCAATTTTGAAGTCTTTGGGTACTTTTCCCTGTTTTATGGAGAGGTTAATTATGTGAGCTATGACTGGTGAGATGGCGGTTGCTGTGTCTCTGAGGAATTTGGAGGGGATATTGTCGTGGCCAGTGGCCTTGTTAGGTTTGAGGGCGCTCAGTTTAATGAGTACCTCTGCTGTTGTTACCCTTGCTAGACTGAAATCATCTTTGCGTACCCCTAGGTTTTTGTAGTAGGTCATGATGTGATCTACTCCAAAAAGCCCTGAGTGGGAGGGTAATTTATTTACAAGAGTTGTGGCTATGTTTGTGAAAAAAATGTTCAAGTACTTGGCCACATCCAGTTTGTCTGTGATGAGCCTGTTATCTGTCTTTATGTTTACGTTTGAAAATCTCGTTTTGAGTTTTTTACTGCAGCCAAGCTGGTTATTGAGTAATTTCCAAAGTTCACGGGGTTTATTTTTGTTTTCCTCAGTTTTGTCATTGATGAAATTCTTTTTGGCAGTTTTGATCATGGAGCTTACGTCATTTCTTAGTCTGTTTCTTTCAATTTTTAGTTCAGTCACGTGGGCCTGGAGTTCACTGCTCGTGCTTTTGGAAAGCATTGACTGACTTTTATGAAACTCAGAGCATTTTTTGTCTCTGGTTTTCATGGCGGTCAGTATGCCGGAGTGCATCCACGGCTCAGCGCGATTTTTTACCCTGGTTGTTCTTAGGGGGGCCAAATCATTGAGTATTGCAGAGAATTTGTTTTTGAAACCAAGCCATGTTTCTTCAACTTGTGTACCACTGAGCTCATCTGACCAGTCCAGGCTCTCCAGTTCTAGGTTAAAGGCCTCGCTAGAGTAGTTTTTGAGGTCTCTAGATATGACTGTTTTGTGACAGCCGGCCTTTTGTTTTAGCTTTTTGCGGGTACAGAATATCATATAATGATCACTTAAACCGCATGCTATAACCCCTTTACTGGAGATCCTGGACCTGTCAGAGGTCAGAATGAGATCAATGGTAGTTTGTGTTGTTTCACATACCCGGGTGGGTTGGGTGATTAGCTGGCTGAAGCCGTGCAGATCACAAATCCTACTGAAGGACTTGAAGACGGACGTG